TAATCAACTACATTTTCCACATACATAGACATTTTTGAAACTTTATTAAAAAAAAAAACCTAAACCATAATTCACCACTATAGACACTTTTTGACAAAAATGAAAAATTACGACTTTGTTACCCAATGAGAAGTGTTCTAATATAGACAATGGGTCCTGTCTCATTATTTGTTATATTTTTATTATTCATTATTTTCACTTGACTCGCATAAATAATTTTGTTCGAACAACATTTATATGCAGTTGTACTTCGCAGCACTTCACTTGCAATTTGCAATTTCTAATACAGTGTATAGTCTGCCTCTTTGCCCTCTCAGGAAAATTATATAGAAATGTGAAAAGGGGAGCAATTAAATAGGCAGTTGCATGAAATACAGTAATGTTTTTTAAAAATGTTTCTTAATGATTAAATTGTTTGTAGGAGCCCTTGTACTCAATATACAACATAAATTTAAATGAGATATTTACCTTAAAATACTTGCTTTATAACCAGAGGTGCAGTACGTGTAAAGTGTCTTCGACAATAGCAGTGGGTTTTTCCAGGTTTAGTCATGTGACCAGCATAGATTAGTATGTTTGTATGTGCAGTGAACCGTGACTTCATGAAATGGGACATGAGACCTTGAACTGTTATAAGTTCAAAACTAATTTAATCGTATTTGGTCAAAGTCAGATGTATATTTACTAAGCTCCTCTTTTTTTCTTTTCATATTCTTATTAACTTCTTTCCTTTCTCTTCCTCTTTTCGAATTCTCCTTTTTTTATCTTCACTATTTTACTGGTTGTCTCTTCCTGACTTTCTTATTAATTTCTTTCCTCAACTTACCTCTCCTTATCTCTCACTCACTGATTTTCATTCCATTGTTTTAATTCATTTCTATATCTCATCCCCTTTTCTTTCCTTGTTTTCTTTACCCATCTACTTTCTGTGATTTATTACTTCTCATTTCCTGTTGTCCTATTTATTTTTATGCATCGTTACCTCATTTGTTTTATACTACATCTTTTCTTTTTTATCCAATTTTATTCTTTTATTTTTTATTGAAAGTCCAGCACATTATCACGTAAGCAGTCTCATCCACATTTTGCATAATTAATTATCTACAAAAACTATGTTGTTTTGTATTTTTATTAAGATTATTTGTGTAAAATATTAATGATTAAATAATATTATGTTGTTTCATTGTAGGTTGTTGAATGTGAGACTAACAACACAGTGGTATTGGTTGTCATAGTGATGAGATTGTAGCCGTTCTTCAGAAAGAAAAGCAGCAGAAATTATTTTGAATCATACAAAGTAATCATTTGGGTTTCAGGTTTCAACATGGAAATCTGAATGCATCTGTTATGGTAAGTAATTCTAAAAATAAAAATATGGAACCATTGGGAGGCAAACTGTAGAGGGCTATAGCTATGAGAAGACTGAGGGAGGCACAGTCATGATTGGTCATGGTGACAGTGCTGTATCTACTGATGGCTTGGGGCATGCGTCCCCTCTAAAAAATAACTTGCACTCCCCTCCTACAGGTACCTCAATTAAGAATTTGCTGAGCAAAAGCATTTTGGTTAAGAAGACAAAATATCACCTTATAGAGTACTATTTATACACCCCCTGTCGTAATTATCGAGCCCCCTACTTAACCTTTGCTTCCCCCTCAGCAAAAAAAATGAGTGCCTACCCTGATTTTGATGAACTTTCATATCCTACTGACTTGGAAACAAAAGTATAACAAGGGTCGCTCATTGGGGTACAGAATTATATTATTTCTTTTTACCTGATTTTGTTTATAATATATAATATAAAATTTAAGGTAAAATTGTAGAAATTAATAGATCCCATATGAGTTTTCTATTCTTACATTGTTTTATGTCTACCAACTTAAGGGTCAGTCAGTGACACTCAGGTTTTTTCAGGAGAGAATGGCTGAGATACAAGTAACAAGCAACATTGTGGAGACATGATGGGGGAGCCTGACCATGTGTAGTGCCATGGAGAGAAGCTAGAGATACAGATAACAAGGAATATTGTGGAGACATGATGGGGAGCTGAGACATGATGTAGTGTCACATCTGGCCATTTTTGTCTCATCTTGTAAGTAAATTTACATCAAATTACTTTCTTTGACTCTAAAAGTAATTGTAACATTGCTCTTTTTCAGACATTCACTTGCTGTTCAAATTATTTCATTTCTCTCTACTTCACATTTCTCATACAACCTCACATTTCCTAGCTATAATGAGAGTTATATTTTTGATTGGATGTAAAAGAAATGAAAATATACAAAGTCATCTTTTACAAAAGCATTTCATTCAACAGATGTATTACACAGCCTGTTTCATTTTTCTTTATTATTAATGAATTAATTATATTTTTAATTATTATAGAAAACTAATGTATTGCTACATCATATTTCATATTACTTAATCCATACTTTTTCCAAAATCTATAAAGTGTAAGATATTATAATGTGTGATTCACTATATTTATAATCAAAGAAGTATTTAAAAAACTATACACTTTAATTATTTATTATGGGTGATTTTGGAGTGGTGTTTCAATCTTACTCGAAAATAGTAAAAAAAGTAAAAGTAAATGTTTTATAAAAATCAAAATCCTTTTTTATCTTTTATGTCCAATATAATACTTACTACTACTGTTGCAATGTGATCTCAAATGTTATTTCAAAATATGATTTCTACGGTATTTTTACCATCAGCATGAACATTTTTTTACATTCATTTTTCATGAACATTACAGTAGACTACACAATAAAATTGAGTAAACATAATTCAAAATAATATTTTCTGAGATAAATATATATTTTGTATAACCACACTATTAATACATTTAAACTGTGGAGATATAAATTACAAAAATGTGAGATTTGACAGAATTTATTCCTGTGAGTTTCTTTAGTTAATTCAACATATTCAAATACTGCAATTGGTTGTTATTGAATTGTTATAAATATATCAAATTAAAAAGGCAGCTTGCATGTGCTCTGATAAATCATAAATATCATTGAGGATGTGATGAGTTTGACTTAATGATGTTACTCATTTAATAGGATGTGTGATTGAGATAGAGGAAAATGCAATAAACAATCACTATCAAAATTGAATGGTTTTTAACTTTATGTGTAATGGTATTTATACACTGTATATCTATACATTTAAAAGTGAACTTTCAATAATTAGTAATTGAATATTTTTACTGTATTGTCATTTGTTACTGCTATTCTTCTTGGATGATATGAAATGATGGATAATCCCCATGGATTGTTGATTCCATCTTCTGGTTTATCAATCCTTTTAATGAAATTTCCTTCACTACTAAAAAGCTGTAGTTTGTGGTTACTTGATATAATGATGTTGTCATCCTCATCAACTACTACTCCATATGGATTCCTCACCTTACCATTCTCATCACCTGCTTGAACTAGGATTTTCGTGAACCTTCCCTCATTATCAAATAATTGTAATCTGCTGTTTGTACATTCCAATACTAGAAGGTGTCCTTCACTGGTAAGAGTAACATAAAAAACTCCATTCATTTGACTGCCTTCTTTGCCTAGTGACCATATCCTCCTTATTATCTGACTACTACAATTGTCAAACATTAACACAGAATAATTACCAATATCTGCTACATACACAATATTTGATGTTTCATCTACGTATATACCAGCTGGATTCTTCAATACTCCCTGACCAATTGATTTGACCACCTGACCATTCATATTGCATACTTTGATGCATTTCAGATTGTTACTGAATGCTATGTTACCACTCCTCATCTTGAACATTTTGAAAACCTCTACACCCTCCGGTAGCATAACCTTACCAATATATTCTCCTGATTGCTTGTACTTGAATATTTCATTTGTAAGACATGAAACCAGCAAGCAATCATCTTCACACTTAACTACATCTCTAACATATTGTTTGTTTGTATCAATAGTATTTACTAATCTCAGTGTAACCAGTGTACAAAAATGGTACAGAAGGGAAAGTATTTAAAATAACTCCCCTACCTCCCTAAATTCCAAGATAGACAAGACAAAGAAGCTTGCTGACCATAAGAATAATTAATGGGATTATTCACCTTACCTGAAAACCACTGACTATGTATTGGTATAAACTACTAGCTAAATAGTCAGCCACTTGTCTCAAAGAAGGGTAATTACACCCTGTAATGTGACCTAACAAAGGGTCTCAGGAATGTTGTCGATAATTAGGGAGGGGAACGAATCAGATAAAAGTAGATTGTTTCACAAACAAATTCACAACATCTACTCTTACGCTAAAGAGAGCAGTAGGTTCTCCTGTCGAAACCTAGTTGTCTAACACTCTTCATTGCTCAACAAATTCAGGTAAGACCAGCATAGCTTTATTATTTTTTAGCTTAACCAGTTTAGTTAAGTCAACTGAATGTTTAGATTATTTAATTTAACTGTCTATAATATATGCAGCCCTTTTATCAAGTTAATCTTAAATTGCCTCTCACCTATTATGTGTTTTAAGTAACTTTATATTCTGTTAATGAAATTATTATTTGCATTTATAGCTAAAATGCTATTACATGATAAACACTGACTATTATCATAATCAGTCCATGATCCATATAGTGATTATATTGTTCCATTGAATAATAGGCCTGTATAAAGAATATTTGTAGGTTAGTCCGTAGATTAGATGTTAAAATAAGAAAAGGCTTGAGCATTACACAACATCTACTCTTACGCTAAAGAGAGCAGTAGGTTCTCCTGTCGAAACCTAGTTGTCTAACACTCTTCATTGCTCAACAAATTCAGGTGTTGAGAGAAGATTCCCAAAGTCATACTGAGTGAAGGATTGGAGTCTGCACCTATCGGTTACATCTACTTTCACTGTCATTGGTGACTGCTTGATTGGTTCATTGCTGGCGCTCACATCTAATTTCCAAATACCTGTACTATTGTATTTTCCTGTCACAAAATAATCTCCATTGTCATCTTCCTGAACTTGAGTGATGTTGATTTCTCCTGTAGGCTGTGTCCAAGTTGCCTTCAGTTGATTTGCATGTATTTCACATTCATCTGTTTTTATTATTTTGACAACAATTGTCTGACATAGGGATGCAAATTCCACTCCCTTCAGTGTTAGACAATCTGCTGCTCCCTGTGATACGTACCCAATTTTACATTGTTGCAATGAATCGAGCTGATTCTCATTGATAACAAATTTAATTTGTCCATTATCAGCTGGCTTTGTTTTTGGCAATTCATTGATTCTGTCCTTTAGTGCTGTAATTACTCTTTCACTTGACTGCATTGCTGTTGCTTTATCACTCTGCAAAAGCTGATTAAGAAAACTGAGTTTTGTATTTATATCAGATATTGTTGTTTTCAGTTCATCCATTTGGACATCTTGTACCTTCTTTTTCTTTTTGTATATTATCTCTACTTCATTTTTAATTTTGTCCCCATTTTCTTTGATTTTCTTTATCATCACCTGTACATGATTGTCAACATCTCTTAAACTTGTATCTTTACTTTGTTCTAATTTTGTAGCATTCTGAATGACTGCTTTAAGGCCATCTTGCAAATTTTTTTTGCAGTCATTGGCAGCTTTCTCCAATGTTGCTGAAGTTTCTTTAAATGTTTTGAATTCTTTAGAAATGCTGATTGGTTTGTGATTTCCTTCCCATGCAATGTGGTCAGTAATTGTGCAATGCATGCATATTGGAGTTTTACAATCTGTGCAGTAAAATTCCAAAGCTTTGCTGTGATGCAAACACAGCGGTGGATGTAGTAAAGTCATCTGTGAAGGGGTCATTGATCGCACATCCTCCATTGAATGTAGCTTGTGGTTGGCAAAGAGTTGGAACTCTTTATGATGGTCAATACAAGTAGAGCACAAGTACTGTCTGCAATCCTGGCAGTAATATAATGCTTCTTCTCCTTTTTTACAAGCACATTTTATCTGATCTTTTTCAGAAAATTGTTCAATCGTTTCTATTAGGTTATTAAGAAAGGTATTTGGTGGAAGTTTTTGAAGCCCACCCTCTGGAATGGGATATGATTTCGAACAAGTAGGGCAAATCAGCTCTCCCTTAGTTTTAACCCAGTCTTCCAGACATGCCAAACAGAAACTATGGAGGCAGTTGAGTGATTTAGGATTTTGAAGTCTCTTGAAGCATATGGTACACTCTAGGACCTTCTCATCAACATTTTCTAGAAATTGATTCAGCTCACTGGTAGCCATCTTGAAATAATATTCTGTGAATTATAAATAATTATTGTGTGTTATAGTACTGTACAGTGTAATTAAGATAAATAATGTCACGTTGATTGATGGATTGATTGATACAAAATAATGATTTTATTTGATGATGATGGGCTAGAGTACTGGTTGTGGTAGCTCCGGTGGTGATGGTGGCGGACCATAGTGAGTGTTTGAAAATTGAAATAGTTTCATCTAGTTTGCATATTGTAACTGTAGAACTTAACAAAAGCTTACAGTAATTTTAACAATATTACAAATTATTTGATAAAAATAATGTTACATTAATAGAAAACCCCAGCAGTAAAGACAACTTTTACCTATCTGTGAATAAGACCATTTTAACATGGGAAGGATGGGGGTTACAGACAATTTCTACTTGTTTTTTTTTAATTGCTGCCTGTTTTTCCCAGTTGATTTTTTCTGGGGGCCATTTTTGCCGCATTTTGAATGGACTTGTTTCAATATATTTGACTCTGGCAAAACCTGGATCCGTTTGTCGCAGTTTATACAAGATACGAGATACAAGATTATAATTTTGCACAAGCACTCAAAATGTTTGAGAATCAGAATTTTGAATATTTTCAAGTTTTGTTTTTGCATTTTATAAAAGATACACAAAACAACAATCACTTAATCTAACTAAAATGTATATTGAAATTTTTTTTTATACGAATCTTGTAATAAACTATTGATTTTGGAATCATTGGAAGTTGTATTTTCAAAACCTACATGGCTGATTCAATGAATTAAATACTCATAACTTCAGGAGTTGGCCTTTTTTGGACGGTAAAAAAGAAAGAATGGAAGAAAGAAAAAAAGGTCCGCCCAAGATGTTTTTTCGGGTGTCTAGAACACAAATATTTCACGGGGGCATGACCCCGGACACACTAGGGTAGTGTTATCTCGATCGGTCCAAATTCCCCCCCCCCCCCCACCTTCTGAACTTTATATATATTCAACCAATTTCCAACAAATAAACACTAGGAATTCATGCAGAATCTATAAAAACACTAAAAAAATTCAATTTTTGAATTTTTTCATACAAACTGCTGGTTTTGCCAGAGCTGGTCACATATCTCCTGTCTATGAGGCGCCATCTGTTAACTTATTATTTAGCAAAAAATAACATGGCTTTTTACGTTATATATTTATATATTATTTTATATAATATATAATATTTTATATAATATATAATATTTTATATAATATATAATATTTTATATAATATATA